TTTTTTTTGCTCGAAAATCAACAATTTCAGGGAAAAATCCAAGTTTTCTAGAGCGGACTATCCACAAAAATTTAAATTATGAGGGCAACAAAGTACTTGATCACTCACCATTGCAAAACCAGCCAACAAAGCCGACGTTCTACTGCTGGCTTTCAGCTGAGCTTTGCTCAGGTCGTAATTGTACTTTTCCGACATATCCAATTCTCCTCGATGCCTGAATAAACCAAACGTTAGCAGCGAAGAAAAAAGGTGTGTTAGGGTTTGGTGTGAAGCTGCCTCGTATAATCAACAAACGCCAAATTCTGATTCAGCGTACAACTATCACCGTGTAATCAGCTGCTGTTGCCGAATTTCACGTTAAATTACCACATTTTTCTCGCTTTCTTGCTCTGCTGACAAAATTAGAATGGAAGAAAGTCGGATGTCGTCTACTGACCCCAGATCATGTTCAGGTTCAGCTTTTCCTCGAGGACCTGGGCTGGACGCCCTCGAAGACTTTGACGATCCCTTGTTCATGCTGCCTGGCACCTCCAAAAAGAACTGCGGTACTGGCCATGGGATTGCAGTAGTAGTGCCGTTTCCCTGCCAGTTTGCCATTGACTGGATGTCATCGACCGAGATCGAACATCGTGGACCAAGTGATGGTTTTGGTTTCACAATATTTTTCAGCAATGCCGTTCGCGATGGATCAAAGGAACGAGGCATCTGTGATGATCGAAAGGTAATGATGAGACGAACATCGGGAGATTCACATTAACTTACAAGAAAGGATTTATTTGGATATAACAGATGGGCTCGTCTGAGCCCTGCCCAAGAACTACACATTTTATTCTCGGTCAAGATATTCATCTCTAAACTTCAACCCAGACCGTACTCTCTACCGTACTCGAAAACGCCAATTGGTCCCCACACGAAGAGAATGAATTGATTTCAACAAGAATGGCTCAAAAATCGGAAAACATACAGAGTGTCCCAAATAATGTATGGAACGTTTAATCTTCAATAAGTTGGGTGCCATACTGTGGGGCTAACTTCAACTTAGATTTACAGCATAGAGCGAATCATCGATTACTCTTGATTACTGTAGGATTACAGTAGGAATTTCGACTAATTTTAAGCTTCTGACGCACGAGGATTGCTTCTAAAAAATTTCAAAAAACCGTAGGGAGGTTAAACTAAGGCTTTCGGGGCTTTCTGAATCTGATTGCAGAGTTTCCGCGTTGACCTTCCGTAGTTTGACGCCCTTCGGTTTTTTTAGAATTTTTCATACAAACCTCGTCTGTAAGAATAAGTCGAAAATTCCTACTGTAATTCTACAGTAACTAAGGGTAATAAGTGATCCGCTCTATACTGTAAATCTAACCTAATTCAAGCTTGCCCCACCTTATGGCACCAGCGATCCCCAAAAGCTTTCCATATAAGGAAGTTATTGAAGATTAAACG